GCTGGGGGTGGCCGCTCGTCAAACCGTGTTTGCCGGGGCTGCGCGCTGCTCGCCCCACGGCCTCGGGAGCTCTGGGCACGTTGGCGCTGACGTTCCAATATGCTGCTCATCTCACCTGCACAAACAAATGCATAAGCCTCAGCTCGGCTAGAATCTAGGATATATGATGAAAATATACCTTCGCTGAACAGGTTTGTCACGTCGACAAGCCCGAACACCGCGAGCTGCTCCGAGGTAACCAGGGCTTCTAAATCTATAAGACCCTCCCCCTGCGCATACTGAAGCAGCTGGTTCTTCAGGTCGACATCCCGGGGCAGCAGCTGGGGGTAATTGATGTGGGCGTTCGGAGTTCGCCATTCTGACAGCCGAGCAGCGAGGTCGTTGCTTATCCTCTCTGTCTGCGTGTCGCGAACAAATACGAACTGCCTCTTCCATCTCACCACTTTGTTCCGGACATTCTTGAACAATTGGCTCTTATCTCTCCCAGAGAGGTAGTACCACCTCGCTCCTCGTGAGTTCGGGCACAACCGGCACTGGAATAGCGACCTGAACACTATCGCTTTAGCTGGCACCTCCAATCTTGCACACAACAGCATAAAGCCCATGATGAACCTTATGCTGTTGGGCGTCAGCTGCGTCAGCACCAGCTCGTACTCCGCGAGCAAATCGAATACCAGGCCGGGCAGGGGAAACCGCAGGCCGGCGTCGAAGTGGTCCACGTACACTGGTATCCAGCCTGTCGGCGACACTGTGCACGCCCTTTCGTTCTGCCCGCCCGTCCGCAGTAGTATGGTTTTGGGAATGTGGTACGCCCTCACCATCTCCTCGAGCCTTCTGTACCCACTTACGGAGGGCGTACAATCTGCTACTTCGTGATGAAGTGCAGCCTTGAACCTGAATCCAGCGGGCAGGTCCTTCGGTGCTTTTCGCATGTTGCTCAACCTGCCCGGTACGGTTCTGCTCTCCCATTCTCCCATCACAGGCCGATCTGAGACATGGCTCACTACATCCCCTGCCTCCTCCTCGCGGCCTGGTGTCCTCTCGGACGAGCTGCTCAATGATGTACTAGGGTGGTCGCCACCGTTGTCACTGGCACTGGAACTGGTGCTGCTCTCTGACGCCATTGTTTCCGGCATATCCTGCAACTCCGGCGGCACTATCATCGTGATAGGCTCCACTGACAAAACCCCCCCCTCTTCTTCCTCTCTGCCCTGGTTACCTCGTTGCTCTACGAATTCTCTCAATGAAACCATTTTTACCTGAAACTGATGTGAAGGTTGACTCGATGTACTGATTCTTCAAGCTGGAGCGTCCTTGCTTCAGAGAATTTGAGAGAGTTTCAGCAAATACAGAAATGAAAATGGAAAAGGGAACGGTTACGAGAGAAACAAAACCAAAACAATCGTATTAAATGCCGTACGCGTGTCTCTGACGCGCCAATAGGCGTCTTACACGTGGTAGGCGTTTAACCGCCTTTTGCATAACGTGCGCCGCCTCTGGCCATCACGCTCCTCAAACGCTGCGCCAGCATTTATGGCGAGGAAGGTAAAGAGATACGGAAGAGCAAACGTATCTCCTCAGAGATCTGGTCAGATTCGGTTGATTTAAAAACATCAAAGATTCAGATCGGCAAAGATCGTCACTCCTGATGTATACCCTATACTGTCACATCAGCTCGCCACTGGAGCACACTTATCAGGTAGTCACAAAGATGACATTTTGCCAGATCGGCTCAACTGTGCCAGTTCGTTCACAAGTGTAGATTTTTTACTAAAATCCTCCAGGATTCAGCTCGTCACAAATCAGTAGGTGCCCTAGGTCGCCCTATTTGATAGCACCGCTCGGGCGGGCTTATAAAGTGGTGATCAACAAACTCAAGTCGCCTCACCTCGTTATCACGGCTAACTGAGCGTCACCTGGTCGCACTTCGGTAGCACTCAAAGCTCTGGTCGCCACATAGACGGTCTGAATCCTGTTGCGAATCACTTCAGCTCACCGCCATAACAAGTCCATGTTAACGTGGCTACGAAGGTCAGCTCGCCCACACGTTTTCAGGCTCGCGAGCTCGCCTCTTTTCGTTTTACCTATCAGCTCGCCCCTCGTCGAGATCGGCCGCAGGCTGTTAAACCCGCTTGGAATAGGCCCAGCCCAACACCGGGCCTAACACCCAAGCAAAACTGGGCTATGCATAACGAGCCTAGGTTACCACCTGTTGGCCCAGGCTGAAGGGGCATCAGTACAAGCACACCCACGTGGGCCAACGACGAACTGACTGAGCTCCAACAAAGCATGACGAGCTCACAAAACTCCAATGAAGAACGACGAACTGAGACCTTACATGAGTGGGCTCCCACAAAGAATTACAGCTAAGACCCTACATGGGTAAACTCTTATGAAGAATTATGAGTTGAAATCCAACATGAACTTCCTGGTTTCAGGTCGTCCTCCTGAACTTCCTGGTTTCAGGTCGTCACTCCTGAGCTTCCTGCTTCCAGGTCATCACTATTGAGCTTCCTGCTTCTAGGTCGTCACTCCTGAGCTTCCTGGTTTCAGGTCGTCACCTCAGTTTCCTGGCTCTAGGTCATAATGCCTCGGCTCCGGCCGCTATGACTCCGGTCACATATTTTACTTCGGCTCCGGCCATAGTGACCCAGCGTCACACTTTTTACTTCGGCTTAGGCCACAGTGACCCAGTGTCACATGCTTCACTTCGGCTCCGGCCATAGTGGCCTCGAGTCACCTATTTCAATTCAGCTACGGCTATAACACATGACTCTGTGTCATGCATTTTTACCTCAGCTATGGCCCAAAACACATGCACCGAGCTCGCTTGGTTTTAACACCAGCTCCCCCACGCCTGCTCGATAGGAAGCCGGCATACACATGCACAACAGAATTGGCCGCGATGGCTTCAGGCCGCCTAGATCGGTCGTGCGTGAGGGCGGACATGAACATAAAACATCACTCCTCATCCTCAGGGTCAAACACCGTGCTAACAAGACTCCCAACCCAGTTCGTCAACCGAACACCGAGGGGGGAGTAATGTTG